ACACACACACACACACACACACACACACACACACACACATGTACGGACCCATCTGTGCCATGGTATCCGGGTGCTTTGGGACACTGCGGGAGAGGAAGAAAGGGAAACGACCCCACGTTCCTGCACCATGTGTCTACCTCAACCCTTTCTGCTTTTCTCTCTTGTCCTATGATTTCCCCCCGCCCATAAACATTAAGAAGACGTCACCAGGGACTAAACTCTAACAGAATCCTTTTTGGGCCAGAGTAACTGGTTTTCTGAACAAAAGGCCTTTTTGTTGATTGGAATAAAGGATTTTCTCAAGACAAAAACAGTTTTCTATCCAGAAAGATCAGCATCCCATCAAACTTCACCCAAATGTGCTTTCATTGTTGGGCAATCATTTCATTTCCTTCTTTATTCTAACAACAGTGGATTTTCATGTTCAAATCTGTGTTTTCTTCACTCACCTGGGGTATATGTGTGCACTTCACCCCTCTCAGCATCACCGCAGCACACCAGAGTATCATCTGCAATACGGCCTCCACAGCATCGGACCCCATAGCCATCGTGGAGGCTCCCACTACAGCAAAGCTGGCCGCCTTTCATGGAGTAAGGAAACCCCCCACAGCAGCTGTCACCCAGCCCTACTGAGACCCGGCCCTGCTTGTGGTCAGGGCAGCAGTTTTCATCTACAAAGACAAAGACAGATGAAGGAAACACTTGAACGACATGGAAAAGATTAGACTCAAGTCAAGTAGAAAAGAGCAAACCCCATGCAAGTGTAAACATATGAAGTGATTTGACACTCACTGGTTTTTACATGAATATAGTATCCTCCACAGCACTGGTGGTCAGGGAGAGCTGGGAGCAGTTTGCTACTGCAGCAGACCGGATTGGAGTAATTAGTCAAACCCAGGTAACTGCCCTCACAGCAATGATGATGTGGTTTCTTAGTGTACAGCAGCCCACTGCAGCAAACCTGGTTGACATACAATACATTGACACGGATGAGAAAGTATGTAAACTAAATACACACAACCACACAGACTATCTGCCAAAGAGAAGGCCATTAAATCATTACGGGGAATGTTCTTTTGTAGGGCCAATCTCCCAAAAAAGTATTGTTTAAAGGCTTTCTTTAATATATCACACCCACATTACCAATACACAATGTTGTTTGTGGCATTTTCTTTCTAAGTACTTGAGTGCGTCTCCTAAGTAGGTGTGTATGAGCTAAAAATGTTGTCATTGTTTGTACCATTGGGTGCTGTGGAGGTAAATGTATAGCTGGCGGATTGACTGTGCCAACTTGGCTGGCATTCAATGACACATGGATGGAAGTGAACGCAGATGACAAGTTAATCTGTTTAGAGAAATTAATCACTGCGAGGATGACCGTGCATCCCACTTCAATAGCGTGCACTCGGAAGAGGAAATGCGAGAGTATGTATTTGTCTGTGGGTCTCTGTGTTTTTTTTTGTGCTTTTGTGTCTATGTCTGAGGTCTGGTGACTAATATCCTGAGGGAGTACACGGCAACACTGTATTCTCCACTTCAGATCAGCAGCCAAAGCAAAGACCCTGGATCCTCTATCTTGTTTTTACACATTGTTATTGTTGTACAGTGATTGATGATTGTGGTTTTAATGATTACTTATGACAAATTGTAGTTAAAAGAGGCTCTTGAATTCAGGTGAAAAAGGGCAGAGGAGAGAGGATTAGAGCAGAAGAAAGATGAAAGACTGAATGTAGCAGAGCAGGAGAAAGGAGAAATATCAGCCCCCAAAATGCATTTTCTCAATAAATCTATAATCAACATTTGTGTAATTAAATGCTTTTCAAAACAGTATATTATTTATTACATATGTCAACAATACACTATCATTACATGTTGCATGTAGAAGTATGTGTTGTTCCAGGCAATAATTGGGACTTGACAAAAATAAAAAAAACAATCAATATTGTATTGTATTAGCCTGTAAATGGTGTTCTTTCCATCAGCGCAGCATGCATGTTAATGCAGAGTTGTCCATGCAAAATGTATATCATGAGTGATCAATAAACAAATGGATGAAGATTTTCCCATAGCCCCGCCTCATACAGAACAAATAAAATAAGCACCAAACAACCGGAACATAATCACCTGAATGTCAGGATGGAAGCAGGACATCCCACACACACCATGACTGGCGGGACACTGCAGGTACGAACATCTGAACCTTACACCGCCTGACTCTTCTCCCACAGAGAGTGTGACCCCCGTTGACCCAACGGCACATGACCTCAAGGTCCGTCTTAAAACATCATAGCCCAGCATGATCCCACTGGGTCTGCCTGGACAGGACCAGTCCAACCTCACCACTCTAATGGAGAGAGAGAGAAGGAGATGGAGAGTGAGATATGTTCTCCTTCACACTACTGGGAGGCACACAATAACTTTATCATACCCACACACACACACACACACACACACACACACACACACACACACACAC